CTGGTGGAATTAATATTATAGTTAAATATTACTCTAAGAAGACTTTGACATTAATTCTTTCTTCTATGTGCAAAACTACCTTCTGAAATTCAATATACCTTTCGTAAACCCTAGCTAAATACAAAATGGAATTGCATGTGGTCATTCTTGGACAATACACAAGAATTGCATCTGATTTTCATAATCTTGCTCTTTTAGGGGCTCAGAAAAAGAGGAAGCTGTGAAAGAAACTGTTACAAAGTCAAGGAAGACCCGTCGGGCCAAAGAGGTTTCCTGTGACACTGGATTGGAGTTTCCTAAGTTAGCTTACCTCACAGTTGAAGAGTTTGATGAAATACCAAAGTAAGGTTTGATGTATTGAAATAGTAAATTCCCTTATCCCTGGTTAAAATCTCTCAATAATTTTTTAAAAATATCCTCCTGAAGATTTTTTGAGGATCCTATTGAGGACTGTAACAAACTCCTCTAAGATCTTCAAGTGTCATTAAGGATGTTGCATAGACCTTTGATGACTGTTGCCAGAATCAGCAAAGATTAAGTTAGAAATCTTAGGATTCTTGCAGTCTGCCTCAGATACTTGCAAGGAACATAATAATAATAATAATAATAATAATAATAATAATTAATAATGCTGATAATACTAATAATGCTAATAATACTAATAATGCTAATAATACTAATAGTACTAATAATGCTAATAATACTAATAATGCCAATATGCCAATAATAATAATAATAATAATAATAATAATGATAATAATAAAAATATCTATCCAGGGAGCCCACTTGCCTTGGCAGTTTTCAGTCACTTTTCAGTTTTCATTTGAAAGAATCCCTTCCAATAAATTTACCAGAATCTAATTTTGTGCGCCTGGTTCAATTGATTTACCCCTTTCAATGACGCCAGATCACTCAGATCATGGTGCATCAAAGGAATCCCAAAGGAACCAAGGTACATTTTTAACTGGGTACATCGTAAATCCTGTCAATATTGCTCCTTCAAACACTCTCTTATATTCCCTTTGCGTTGGGTCTGTTCACAACTAGTCAGTAGAAAATGTTGTACATAGGCAAGGTCTACGTACCCAAAACTTTCAAACTGTCGCAAGCTTTTCGGAGTGTTTTTATTTGGCTATGAATGCAAGAAACAAATGAAATGCCACGACTGCACAACCAGTCAATGCGTTGATTACATGATCAGAATTTTATATTATAGCTCTTTCTCCCCTTGTATGGGAAGCCTGTAAAATAGGAATACGAGAATGCATGCCTGTTGTTGCAACTTTTACCTCGTCTTTCCATCGTTAAGCATGCATTCATAGTGAGTGTTTTCTGCTCATAATACTGCAGGTATATCAAAGGGCGCGTCTCGTATGATCAAGCCAATAATGCCATAGATGAAATCCATAAAGTTATCACAGCAAAGTATAAGATTCTACGCCTTCCTCGTTCAGCCATGGGGGAGCCGGTTATGAAGAAATACAAGGTACGCGGACGTTACTGTTCTTACCGAATTACACAACATAATTATTAGCGAGTTTAAGAAAACCACGACGGCAAAGGCAACGGGAACGTCGCTAAACAAAAGGTTTAATGAGCAGAACAATGG